GTGCTTAATCATTCTTGTTACCAGCATGGTTATCAACAGACTAGGGTGGATTGTACCTCCACATCTTGTCCATAATCTGACTGCAGAGTTTTGCTCCTTATAAGGCTGCATCCCCACTGGCTGGCTCAGGTTATTTTCTGAGTCGGTTTAGTTATTTTAGCATATATTTTTAAAAACTCCACCTAGAAAGCACAGTCTTCAACTGTGATGTAGAAGTGAAACTGATACTGATAGATTTCTTTTTACCCTCCTATCATGAGAAATTAAAATAAGGATGCATCTTTTGACTTCCACTGAACTCCTTCCAGTTGTCATTTGCTGTATAAATGAGATACGAAAAGAACATTCCTTGGAGGCTCAAGGAAGTGCATTAAAATTCAGGTGAAAATAATATATCACCCACCCTGAAGGCTCACAAATGTGGGCCTGATTCTGCAAGGGCTTTCTCAAATCACTGTCTGGAACAAAGTCAAACCCACAACAGGAAGATGAATATTAAAATACCATTCCGCCCAGTGGTCTGAACTTTCTCAAAAGCAACTGAAGTGCAATAATTAGGTGATCCAGCAGGATACAGTGGGCAGAGCACCAGACTGGAAATGGAGATGCACCAGTCACAGTTCTTGCCCTGCCCTGGTGTTTGCAAGGTGACGCTGGGCCAATCGCCACCTCTCAGCCTAACTTGCCAAATGCAGTTGACATACGACAGGGGTGAGAGTGATGTGGCCTCCCTGGATCGCAACTCCTATTTCCCCTAGCAAGCATAGCAAATTAGAAGGGGTCACGGGAGCTGCAATGCAACATCTGGAAGACCACATTTTCCCATCCCCAATGTACTGCCTTTGCTGACCACAAGACACCTAGAAGAACTGGATAAAAATCTGACTCAGTCCCCATCTACAGAAAGATGACACCATGGGACACCTTGGGAGCCAGTGTGGTGTGGTGGTTAAGAGCATGGGACTGGGACTCAGGCGATCCGGGTTCGAGTCCCCGCTCAGCCATGGAGCCAGCTAGGTGACTTTGGGCCAGTCACAGACTCTCAGCCCAGCCTACCTCACAGGGTTGTTGTTGTGGGGATAAGATGGAGGAGGAGAATGATGTAAGCTGCCTTGAGCCCTTTGTAGGAAAAAGGCAGGATATAAATAAATAAATAACAAATCTAGCTAGTGGGTACAGCTAACATTTGGATTTTATAGTTGATAATAGAAGAAACTACTGGGTTTCAAATGCCCTACTCTTAATTGCACTCATGGAAACTGAACATTAAATTTAAAAATTAATGTTAAGTTAGGTGAGTCCTATTTATCTTAATGTGGTCTGTACTCAAGCAAATGAACACAGAATGTTTCTGTAAGGTTGCGATTCTGCACGCAGGCATGCCCACCACCACCAGTTTCAAAGGGTTAAAGCATGCATTGTTCTACAGAATCAGGTTGCAAGAAAAATAAAATAAACATGAAGTTCTGCTTGACAGTAAAGCAGTCAATTAAACAACACATGCCATTAAAAATAAAAAACCATGACAAACAAAAAGTTAGCCATATAATTTCATTTTGTACTGAGATATGTGCAATAAATTAAGGGATTTGTTTATCGTATAGTGCAGCAATATTTAACTTCGTGTTTATTTTGAAGATGAACTGATGGGTCTGTTAATTTAAGCAAAGCGGCAGGTTTGTTGCATAGAGGCAAAGGAAGCTCCCTGCCATGGTGTAGATGAGCTGTATTAATGAAACAGTGCCTCCCAGCGACAATAAGGCAGAATGCACCCTGAAAATTAATACCTCCGAAGATGTGTACACAGGTATGTATGGAACAAGATAATACTTCAGGTAACCTGGCCCCGTGCTTTTTAAAGCCTCAAAAGTTTATACCAGACCTTTGAACTGGGCCCAGAAACAATCTGGAAGCCACTGCAGATCACAGAGTCCCAGCTTGAAACACAGTCATGTTGTGTTTTAGGACTTTAAATCTTGTTACTGCCCAGAGAGCCTTGGCTATTAGGCGGTATAAAAATACAATAAGATACTCAGTGCCCCCCACAAAAAAACCCCTTGAGTTTTATGAGTAATCCTATTATGCTGAACCTGGTGGGACTTATTTCTGAGTGAAGATTTCTGAGTGAAGACGGCTGTCCTGCTTTTCAAAGACCGAGGATGCGCCCTGCAGTGCATCGGAACGGGTCCTTTTTGCTTTGCGTAGTTTATTAGGCTGCATCTGGTTGTTTTAATTTTCCATATATGAAGGAAGGCATTAATCTTCTTTGACTGGCATAGGAGAGGGAAGTGGGAAGGGGAATTTCTGTAATATGTGGATGACATAATCTGAAGTACAAAAGAGTTGCCAGATTAAAATGTCAAAAGATGATACATTACAGCTGTATTTATGTAAAAATAGTGTTGTGTATGTCACTGAATTGATTTTCTTCTTTATTTAATAATTGATAAAAATAGCTCTGATTTGCCAACGAAAAGTAAGACACTAATCAAATCAAAATGACAGCATTTGACTATTCATCTGGCTCTTCAATGTCATGCTTCTCCAGCACCAATACTCTGTTTCACAACCAGCCCGACAATCTAATTCACTAGCTACTCTTGCTGAGTAATAGGATAGCTCAGCTCCTAAAATCCTCTATACCATGTAAAGTTTATCACACAAAAATGTGGGAACATAAAATGAACTCTGCTGAAGAAAAGACCTATCTAGCCCAGCACTCTGAACACCAGGGGCAAGCAGAAGCCCCCAAAAGACATGAGCAGAATAGCAAACACCTGTTCTTGTTCCCCAGCAACTAACCTGTGCACTTCCCCACACTGGAAGTATACTCGAGAGCCAGTGCAGCAAGTGGCAGGGGTGTTGGTGATCCGGGTTCTCGTCCCCTCAGTCATGAAGCTCACTTTCAGTGGGCCAGTCACTCACTCTCAGTCCAACCTACCTCACAGGGTTGCTGTTGAAAGGATAAAAATAAAGCTGTTTAAATAGCCTTGGGTTCCTCACAAGAGGAGAAAGATGCCATATAAATGAAATATACTATATAGCCATCTAGTAGTCAGCCAGCACCTTTTAATGCTGCCCAAATTGTTAGCCATCGCTACATCTTGTTGCAACAGACTCTGTAGTTTCATGGGCTGAATGAAGACGCCCATCCTCATATATCCCTGCCAGACCACTCAGGTCATCAATAGAGGCCCTCCTTCACGAACCCCCTCCCCCAGGTGAGGAGGGAACAGGTGAGGAAAAGGGCCTTTTCCGTCATCACGCTTCACCTATGGAATTCTCTTCCAAGAGAGGTGTGACTGGCACCCACTCTATCTTGCTTTCGACATCAAATTAGGACTTTTTAATTTAGTATCTGTTTTTAGATAGGATTATTGGTTTGCTGCTGGTATATTGTTTTATTGTTATTGGTCATATTGTGTTTGTTTTCCTCCTATTTCCTATTTCCATGGTCGTATGTATATTGTAGTGTAATTTTACTATGTTTTATGGTTTTGTTATTATTTTTATCTTTTTCTTAAATATATTTATATTGCACTGTGAGCCTACCAGAGAGCCTTTGGCTATGGAGCAGCATACAAATGCAATAAATAAGTAACACCTGTCCTGAATCCCCCTCCATTTTGCTTCAAGCATTCTCCCTAACTGCATTCTCCATACCAGCCCCTTAATCATTTTTGTTACTCTTTTCTGCACTTTTAGTTCTGTAACTTTTCTGAGACGCACAACCAAAAGGAGCACACTGTTCAAACTGTGTTCACACCTTGGATTTCTGTAAATGCCTTGTAATATTTTACTTTTTGATTCCTGTTCTCAGTATGGCTAGCACAGGCTTTGGCTTTTTGACACTGGACTGGCTTTTTAGCCAACTGTCCACCCCAGCCTCAAGGCTAGCTCAGACCCACCCGCATATATATGGAACTGGGATTTTTCTTAACCCAAAGCACAGCATTTTACACATACTTACATTGTGCTGCACCGGCCACTTGTCTCCACGCTCCCTTTTGGCCTTAACCACCCTAAGCAACGGATGCCCTTCTCCGGGAACCCTCCGTGAAGGATATTAGGAGGCCGAGTACCCGGAGGAGGGCCTTCTCTGCGGCGGCACCCCACCTATGGATTGTGCTCCCCAGAGAGGTCCGCCTGGCACCGTCGTTATTTGCTTTTCCAGGCCAGGCAAAGACCTTTTTATTTAAAACTTATTTTAAGTGTTAATGTATTGGTTATTTGTAGGACTTTAAATCCTTTAAGCCGAGATGCACCGGGTTTTAATATTTTTCTTGTATAATTTTGTTCTTGTTGTGAGCCGCCCCGAGGCTTTGTTGCGATGGGGGCGGCATAAAAATGTTTTAAATAATTAATTTGGTGCAGCTGAAACTTTTACCAGCTCACCTCTAACTTGGCGGGGGGGGGGACATAGAGCGACAGCCCGGCGACCGGGGGGGCGGGGGGGGGGGGGGCGGCCACCAGTGCAGCGGGCGAAAGGGGGCGCGGCGGCTCCGAGCGCGGCCCCGCTCCGCCACGCAGCCCACGGGGAGACTTCGCGCCAGTCGCAGGCGCGCAGCCAGCCTACCTCGCAGGGCGGCTGTTGAGGAGGCAAGACTGAGGGGCGGGGCGGCTCGTGTCGGCCTCTTTCATCTCTTTAGAAACGAAAAAGGCGGGATTTAAATCTAATACATGAATAAAGGAACGGAACGGGGGCTGCGAGGGAGAAAAGATGAGGGTCCCGGCGCCGGCTTGAAACGCTGCCGCGCTTCGCCAGCGCTCCAGCTCGGGGTTTCCAGCCAGCCCGAGACGCCCTCCAAGGGCGGGCCGCCGCCCTCAGCAGCGGGTGGCCGGGCCCTTGGGGCGGGCGCTTCCCCTCACGGGCGAGCCCTCGGCCGGCCGGCCCGCCCCGCCCCGCGCTCGCAAGCCCCGCCCCGCGCTCCCCTCCCGACTGGCGGCATCGGCGGCGAATCAGGGCGGCAAGCTCCGCCGCGGACCGGCAGTTTGGGGCGGGGCTTGGCGGCGCCACCTCCCCCGCGCCCCCGCGCCAGATGCAGCGCACGGAGAAGGTGCTTCAGCTGCGGGGCCTGCAGGGCCGCTCGGTGCGGGTGGTGCGCGAGCACTACCTGCGGACCGACGTGCCTTGCGGCAGCGCCCTCTGCCAGGCGGCCTGTCGCCGCGGTGAGTGAGCGCCAGCGCGCGTGCGCGCCCTGTTGAGGGCGGGGCGGTGGGACTTCAGGGAGGGGGCGTGACGTCAGATTGGGGGCGGCACTGGAGGGCTTGCGGGCGCGTCTTCTGGCCGGGGTGGCCTGAAGGGGCTAGGTGCTGCCGAGCATGTGCAGAGCGCCTCTGCGCTGTCGAGTTTTCAGGCAGGCTTCAGTCCCACCGGGTTCATTCTGAGGGGCAACTGGGTATATTTTGCGCCGTTGCTTATAAAAAGGTGCAACGTAAACCAAGCTTTTGTGCAGCTGGCAATACGAATTTTCATGCCTTTATTGTTTTCTGTCAGAAGGCTTTTGGGGGGCGCCCACGCATAATTGGGGCGTGAAAGCAGTGCTAGGAATAAACCCAGGAACCTCAGTAGAAGGGGTGGGGAACTCTATCACAGGCTGCACGGATAGGGTTCATTTGCCTCTGGATGGTGAGTGGCACCATGTTGGGCAAGGCGTCAGTAGGAAAATACTGCTAGCGTCCTCTGAGAGCTTCCAGATACCTTGGACTACATTTCCCATCACTGTGTGAGGTGTGATCTTAGAACAGTGGGGGTTGTAATCGGCTCCACTGGGGAGGCTGCACTAGAACATAACCATGCTGCAGAATCAGGCCCAAAGGCCCCTGTGTTCCCCCAGTCCCTCTGGGGCACTCGCCTGCGGGGCAGAAAGGCAGTGTGCACCCCATTACTGCCACCACCCCACCTTGCCTCTGAACCAGGGGCTTGCATTTAATTGCCATCACCAAGGAGTACGTCCCTGACGCAACTCATGCTTTTCCGTGCAACTGGTGCTGCATTTACACTAGCAGGAAACCCTGCTGAAACAAGCAGTGCGTGAGGAGTCCTGTGAATCAAGCCTTTCTTCTGCTATAATGTTCATTTTAAGATTGTTTGGCTGGGTGTGCCTTCTGTAACCTCAACAAGCTGACAGATCCCGTAACTGTTCAGGGCATCATTCTAGCTCGTAGTCACAAAGGAATATTAATAAGGATTTTATTCTTGCCTTTATAAAGAGTTGCTCGGCTATTACTGAAATATGTTGCTTTTTGACTTCAGTCACCATTCACAACGTGAGAAAAATACCTGATGCCTTGTCAAACAATCTGCCTACTTAGGATGGCTTTCAGGCTCTTCGGAACTTCAGATGTTTAATTTCTGTAGAGTAAAATGGATAAACTAGACTTTTATCGAACGATGTGCTTGGTAATCACACCTGGGTTTTTAGACAAATAGGTGCAATAGACAGTGTTTCCTCGGTTTAATGGGGGGGGGTGATTTTTGTTGGGGTCAAAGAGCATTAACCGCCTCCCCATGCTCTGTGGTCTTGATGAGTCGTGCCCCATGTGTGCATGTGGGGTGCTGAATTTTATAAAAAGCCTGACCAGGTTGGCAGTGGCGCCATTAGGGTAACACATGCTTCAATCCCAGGCCTCTTTCCAAACTGAAGCACTTGTAGCAGGAGTACTGCAGGCTCTTTCTTCACGTGCCCCTTCCTCCACTGCCCTGTCCTTCCTCTGTTTGTGCCCGTGTTCCCCATTTTGACTGAGAGAATGTAAGTTAGCAATGGATCTGTGCTTTTGTACGCTCTCTGGCAAAAAGCAGATCCTGGTATGTTTCCAGCTTCAGCTCCCAGTTCTTAAATGGATCTTCAAGAACACCTGGAAATCTGCCTCGTATCCACTCCTGCTGCAAAGCACCTGATGAAGGGTACAAATGAAGGAGTAACATTTGCAATAAACACTGGATTCTGTTTCAGATGGGAAATTGTTGTCTGATGATGTGACTCACTATGTTGTGCCTGACTGGAAGGTGGTCCAAGATTACCTGGAAATACTGGAGTTTCCCGAGTTAAAGGGGATTGTTTTCATGCAAACAGCCTGCCAAGCACTGCAGCATCAAAGGGGCCGCAGGTATCTAATCTACCTCTGGGGCTTAAAAGTCAGTCTCTTGCGGTACTTTTTGCCTTTAGTATTTTCAGAAAAATGCATGTAGAATTGAGCACTCAGAGTTAGACTACTGAAGTGAGCAACATACTTCCATTAAGAATCTTTGGCTGCGGCCTTGCACTCTGGGAGTAAATCCCATTGAACTCAGCTGGGCTTGCATAAGGTTTTGCTGCCTATATTCCATTGTTTTATGTTGCTGGTTTAATTCCAGTAAGTTGAGATTTTGCAGGACCTGGTCATATGCATGCAAATTACTTGATATTTCGTTGTTTCATTGCTCAGTATTTGGTTGACTTGTAGTTGGATGCCGAAAAACATTCTGTGACTATCTGTGATGCGATTCACCCTTGTGTTGAATCCTTCAGGATACAATCAGCTCATTTTTACAATGAAAGTATGTTCAGCTCCACCCCCCACCATGATAAAGTTAACCTGCAAGTTCATTTATATAGTTAAACTTACTTCACTTTTCTAACTTATATTGGGCAGCTTTGTTTAAGCTTTATGGTGACACTGTGAGGGCAGGAAATAGGGAGACGGGAGATGTGTGGCTCGGCAGTTCTTTATTTAGACTTACAAAGGTTAATCATATGCCGCAAATGCATCTGTATTACAAATGCCCTGGGGACCCCAAAGGCTAATCAGGGATTTCTCTAGTTGACATTAATTATAGCATTATTATCTATGAATATGTTTCAGAGGTAAGGAAAATAGCCTAATCCTCTGTCATAACAAGACAAGTTAATGAAAATTCGTGGTACGCTCTTCCTGCTTGCATTTTTTAATCTGGGACTGCTCTCGGTTAGGATACAGTTTTCATGTGGGTGCCTGTAAGACCACTTTTGTCTTTTTCCCCATATATTTTTTAATTTATAGGGTGCTGAATCACCTGACAGGGCTCTCTAAGTGGTGATTTAGGACATGCATTGTGGCCTGACCTTTCTATGTCATCCTTGTGAAGTCTGAGACTGAAGGAGGGCAAGGGGAGTCTATATTTCAGTATAACTCACATATATATTTAAACCAGCAAGCAGATTCCCAGGTAGCAATAGGGCTGCTTGTGGATGTTAATTATGTGCAGGAGATAATCTAAATATTAATAATCCTTTAGTACAATGAATATTCCTACTCATAAATGATAAAGCTTTGTTGCTTTGACAGTGCCTTGTTTTTTTACAGACAGTACACTAAATTGCGAAATTTACTGAGGGATGCTCGTCATGACTGCATTATGTTTTTTAATGAATTCCAGCTGTATTCTTATTTGCCAAGACAAAGAGGAGAATCTTTGGAGAAATGGCAGACAAGGTACGTGCTCAGGATGATGCCATGAAATTGCAGTGGCATTGTTCTAAAGCAGTGGTCTGCAACTCTCAGCCCTCAGTCCAGGCACACAGACACTCATGTGAATCTGAGGGGTGCCTCCAGAAAGAATCGTGTGATGGCAGCTTTGCAGTCCTGGGGGCAAGTAATAAGTTCACTAGTAAACTGGTGATAAAATATTTTAACTGCATAGTCTTCTGCCTTCTAATGGATTACTTAGTCAAGTAATTATATTTAAAACAGAGATGCACTCAAAAGTGTTGAAAACTGACTAAAAAGGATCCAAGTAGCTCCCTTACTACCCTCCTTTCTCAGCAAGTCTCACTCAGCGTGGCACTTCGTGTCTCATTTTCCCGCGCAGAAAGCAGTCGAGCGCCTCTTTCCTTTTCCCTCCCCCGTCGCCCCCACAAAGGGGTCACTTCTCTACCGTTTCTCCAAGCAAGAGTCGTCTCTCGCCAGCTGGACAGAATGTTTCTGGCACATCTGAAAAGCTGGTTTCATTGACTCGGTTGATGTGGCCAGGGAAACTGGCGCATTTACGCATCTCCCTTTGCGTGCATGGTTGTACACACCACCACATTTCTGTAAAGAGGTTACTGTGTGGGCTGAACCTGCTTGGGGGGGGGGGGGGCTTCCAACCCAACCAGGAATCCCAGAATAAGCCATTGGTTATAGGTTGTCTGGGAGCCACGCCCACCACCCACCTTGCAGGAGTCAGAGGACCCGCCAGCTACGCCCAGCCCAGGTAGTTAGTGAAACAACCTGCCACACGCTTGGCAGGTGTGGGGCAAGGAAAAGCCACAGCGGCTGTGGCTTTTCCAAAACGTTCTCACAGGGCAGGGAACCACAATCTCCAACCTTGAGAAAAGAAGGCAAACAGTGTTAATACAGTTCTCAATCCTTGGTTTGTCACTGTGTGTGTGTCACTGCTGCTTGCGTGAAAGTTGTGATCAATCATATTAAATGGAATCGACGGGGCACATGACAATACAAATGCTAGGAACAACATGACACGAGAAGATGTAATGACATAGATCAGTAAACGTGAATGCTTGGTCTCCTAGGAGTATTTATAACGCATCCGTGTGGTATTATAATCACTTTTCGGGTCAGATGCCAGTCGTTATGGTAACGGATGACGAAGATTCTATTCAGCAACTTGGAAGCGAGACAGAAGGTGTCTTTGTGATTTCATTCAAGGTAATAGTTTTGTGTTTACTGCACCTTAGTGGAACAGTAAAGCAAATAGTTCACAGATGATGTTCCTGAAGTTTGCCTGTGAAAATGCCTCTGTGCTTTCCATTAAGCTGCATGAATTAAAGCAAAATACATAGATTTGATCTGAGGTATGGCCATTTGGTTACATAGGACAATGCGGGGAAACTGCATCTTCCAGGAAAGTAGGATGGCAGTTAAATTCCTGCTGACGAGGAGGGCAGCGCTGGCTAAAAGTTGCACGCCACTGTGCTTGCTAGTCACAAACCTGTGTTGCGTACCTTCCTCGCGACTGGCAGAGGTCTGGTTTGCATGGCAGACTAAATCCACCCTGCAGTAAGCTGCACAACGCGGGCTGCTTATAGAACAAGCTGCAGTGAGCCCAGCAGATGGTCAGGCTCACCAAGGCTTATTCCCCGCTCCTTTCCATGCAGTCCTCTAGATGGTATCCCAGTATCCCTTGCAGCAGAGCCCATCTTGGGCTTCTCCTTGATCCAGTTCCTACCCTGTTTCTTCTCAGCTGTTTTTTCCCTGCCAGAGCTTCAGCAAAGGTACCTTTGGGGTTAGTGGGTTTTTTTAACAGCCTTTATATGGAAGCTTGCATTTAATAGATCTGCTGGGAATTGAGGCTCAGAGAGGAAGGTGGCATAGTCTCATCAGGTCTCTTCCGAGCAGCTCAAGTCCAGTCCAATCCAGCCAGGTGAAGTCCAAGTCAAGGCAGGCTGCCAAGACAAAAATGAGGATGCAGGGAGGCCTTCTGGCTGCAGCCAGAAGGTTGCAGGGAGGCCGCCTGACTGAACTGGGGAAAGAGGTTGCCCCAGCAGGCTGGCAAAGCCATATGGGGCTTATAGAAGCAAATGGGCCTCTTCTGCATAAGACCTCACCTTCTTGAAAGAGCAGATCCTAAAATCTTCTGCAAGGGTTAGAAGATGGAGAGGCCACTGAGGACCCATCCGTTGAGTCTGAGGGTAGTTTAATGGATGCATCCTCCACCTGGGAGAAGACAGTGACTCTCACCTCCTCATCTTTTTTCAGAGCACTGTTGGGAGCCACGGCATTAAGAAAACCTCAAGAGCCAAACATTCTTTTTGTCTGTTTTTACAGAATTATTTGGACAACTTTTTGCCAGATTTAAAATCTGCCCATGAACTTTTGGATTCTATAGTCCAGTCACAGCGAGAACGGGAGAGTGAAAGCCAAGAGAATAACGGGAAGGAGTACCCAGACCATATCGCTGTGGAAACACTGGAAGCTGGAATCAAGTCAGGAAGATACCTCCAGGTTTGATTTTTGGTGTATGCATAGAGGGAGCAAAGTTTGCTCTTAAAAGAACTGAGTGTATTTTCATATCTTGCCAGGTTAGTCTGTTGGATAGTTGGCTTCATGGCAGGCAGTTAACACTCAAGTTAGTGAGAGCATAATGATCAAAACTTTTTGCCATACCTAGTAAGGCAGAAAAAAAAAAAGCTCAGCCAGAGGAAAGCGCACGAACAGCTTTGATATTTAAAAAATAATCAGTCTCAGGCACGGCTTTTTGAAATGTTTAGGCTAGGTCTGGGAACAGAAATGGGGTGGATTATTTCTTTCACAGGCTGCCTCACATAGAAACGTAGCTCAAGAATGTCAGATTTACAGAGACTAGTAGTAACATTTAAAATGTAATTAAAATGCAAAACAATATTTAAAATGCTGCAGCTCTGATCTAGAAAATGCTTAACAGAGCAACCTTGAGGTAGCTTGGCAGTGCCATAATGTCCACAGCTTTGCTTGGATCCCCAGCTACAGCACTGGAAAATCTCTTCAGCCTCGTATGGGAGAGCCATGTTTGGTTCTTCCTCCGCCTCCCTCCAGCAGAGAGGGAACTGCACTGGCTGCATCCCTGAGCTGACATGAGCAATCTTGAAGAAGGGGCATTCCAGCAGGTAGGGAGGAGAGGAGGCGGGCACAGCCAAGATCCGATGCCTCCCGGTCGTGCCTCAGCATCCTTCTCTCCTGCTCCAAGGTGCCGCACTCAGGTGGCTGACATGAACTGTCCGGCTGCTTTGCAGGGCTGGAGGCATATGGAGGTGGCCTCTACAATTTCAGCCCTGCATAGGATGCCTATTCTGAGGATTATGGGTTTCCCGGTTGGAAGCACCCCAAATGGCAAGATGTAGAGTAGCTGCATCACACTGGGGAAACACCTGCAAATAAGACCTTTTCCTATATGCATTTTGTCTTCTCCCAGTCTGTACTTAAGGTGTTGCCTCTGTGAGAAAAGATAAATTGGAGTCTTTTGCTTAAATGTCTCCAGTGGACTTTATAGGTCAACATGAAGGTGATAGAAAATAAACCAGAGGTCTGGCATTTTGTTCAGAAGAAGGGTCCATCACTGCTAACAAGGCAAAACAGCAATGTGGAAAAAGCACTGGAGAAAAGAAAGCAGAAAGGGAAAAACAGACCAGCCACCTGGCTGTACAAACCATCGCAGTCTTCAGGAAATGAAAGATTCTTAAGGAGCGTGCCAAATGAATTTCCTGGGCAGAGCTTCCCATAAGGGTGCCATCACCAAGGCGGTTTTCCCACTTTCCTGCCCATTTTTCTTCTTTTTTTTTTTTTTTTAAGGGTACCTCCAGAGCAGACTGTAAGAGATGGGCCAGTTCATATAGGAGGAAGAAACTTAAGATTCCCTTCACTGAAACTAAGTAGAGCTTTGAAGGTGATACCCAACACCTTTTAAATGCAGTCCGGAAAAAGACCGGAAGCTGGTGCAGCTGGAACAGCATGGAAGTTACACGAATCAGTGAGCTGGTCCCAGTTGGAACACTGAACTGGTTGACGTGCCAGAATGCTTTTTAAGGGTAGCTCCATGGGGCATCTTTTGCAGTCACCAACCTGTTCACCAAGCAGCATGCTGAGAGCACCCAAAAATGCCAACTATTTTTAGCGGGGGAGATATAGTTCCATCCAAAATAGCCCTGTTCCAGAATTGGCATTCCTTGTGATCAGGAGTCCCTCTGCCTTGTCCAAATAAAGCTTGACACATCCAGGCCTGATCCCAGGCCTGATCCCAGGTAGCCAGTTTTAGGCTTTCCTTCAGCTCCCTGGGATCACAGAGAAAGGAGAGAGAGTTGGGTGTGGCCAACCTGCCTAAGCACAGAGCTGTAATAAACATGGGAGTGTATCTCTTGATTAGCAGTGCATAAGTTTTGGATTTAATTTCTTGTAGGGGGTCCTGAATGTGAATAAGCACAGAGCACAAGTAGAAGCGTTTGTGCGACTTCAAGGAGCTGGCAACAAAGAAAAAGGTGTGACCTAATTCAGTACATTCACTTTGGCCAGCAAGCCTGGTTTGGGCATGGTTAGGTTTTGCCCGTTCCAGCTTGCTTCTGGGGGACATCCAGGACTGCTTTGCATTGGTAGTCTGGACTGATCGGGCTGCCAGATAGTCAGGCGCTCTATGCCTTTTCATTTCTGTCCCCTCTCCAGTTCTGTTTTTGAGCAGGTGTTGAATTGGGCATCAGTTGTCCCGCACAGTCCCTTTGGAGACAGGTTGTCCAGGTGCTCAGGAGGAGCCCCTTGGGAAGTATCTGTTGATGCTCATATGCCAGAACCACCGCAGGAAGTTGGTGTTTCCTAAAGCACCTGGAAATGAGCCAAAGTGCTAATTTCTGGAATGGAACGATCAGTGGCGCTCACAGAATGGCGCTCTACTGACACACTGTGCTGGAAACAAGGGTTCCAGCTTGTTTCTGGGCTCGTGCTGGGGGCAGGACCTGGTGGCGTGACGGAATCAGTGGAGGCTTCAGTCGCCTGCTGCTTGCTTCAGCAAACAGCAGAAGTTAGCGAGGGACAGACACTTCCCTCGTTGAGGGAACAGCCTCCGTTTTTTCCTGTTCGTTAAGAGAGCAATATTTCAACAGGAAGGGGTTATACTGTATTAGAAATAAGGAGGCTGAAGTCTTGTGATGCAGGAAGGGTCCCTAAAAGCAAAGGGCACTTGGCAGCCCTCATAGAACACCCTTGTTTAATATTGACAGATAGTTTGACTACGTCTTTTTAGCAGCTTCTGTAAAGCTCGACATTGTGTTACGTTGTGCATAGCATTATGGGAGTAGTCTCGTGAGCTTTATTGGGTCATCTTTCATATTAGAATTAGAAAATGGAAGTGCTGGCTCAGGAAGCAGCCTACATTTCCCAACTTTCCACCTGCTTCTGTATAAACTAGTAACTTCTTTTTGTGTGGAATTGCCAAAGAGGAGCCAGATGCCAAGATTTCTGACAGAGAACATGTAAACCCGTTGCCCGCTTTAGTTCTGCTGAGTCATCCCTCATCATTTGCACCCAGATCTCAGAGCGGACGTCCTCATTTACGGTGCCAAAGCACGGAATAGGGCAATCCACGGTGACGTCGTTGCAGTTGAACTATTACCTAAGAATGAATGGAAGGGACGAGCTGCTGCCCTTTGTGAGAATGAGACTGAAGAAAAGGCTGCTGGGGAAGTCTGCGGCGAGACTATGCCCACAGGTAAGATGTGGAGAGCGGAGGACAGCCTTACCAGCCCCTTTTGCCGCATCACCACATCTAAGCTGGTCCTCACTGATCGGGTGTTCGTGATGTTATTGTGTTGAATTGTGCACCTTGCATGTGCAGAAATCCAGTCTTATTCTCTGTGTGCTCGTGCATGTATGTACCTTGCAGAATTTCACATTTCTGAAAAAAATGTTCTGGGATTAGAACATACGTATCTTCATTTGACAACTCCACTCCCACCCCCTGGGTTTTACAGTAAGTTTTATTGTTATTTTTCTACTAACTAACAAAAAGAAACTAAAAATCATCAATCATCAAAAGCATCAGACCTACTGGGTCAGCCCCCCATACTTTTTCTTTTTTTATAGTAATCCATAAACATACTTAAGTCTATGCATAGTCCCGTTTCTCTACCCAATAATCCACCCCTGGGTTTTACACTGGGGATATTCACTAAGAAAATTTGCAGAAGTATTTACTCGTATTCTCATTTTGTCACTATCTTGCTTCACCCCTGCAGGTGATTATCTGTTGGAGGAATTGTATTTACACAGTCCTTCTTCCCCGTGGCATAATTTCTATAGGTTGTGCTAGGGCAGAACGCATCTAGTTATTGCGTAGTTTACCCCGTTAGCAGTCACAACTCTCTGCTAACAACCGTTCAGTTGTGCTTGGTTTAGTCCAAGTGGTTTCAGTCAGAGCTGAAGTGTGTAAGCGTAAGCTTTGAAGGTTGAAGTATGAGCTGAAGGTGTCCTTTGGGCCTAAGATAATTGTTCCAATCTTGCTAGGGAAAAAACCTCATACTTAAGGAGAAAAAATTATTGATCTTGTCTAAAATTTACTGCAGCATTTTAAAGTGGCAAGCTGGTCTTGGACACACACTTTCCCCTGTAGGCTTTTCAGTTCCTGATATCCTGTTAGCAATTCTGTTATTGCGGCGCAGCAGCGGTAATCTTCCTGTAATAGATAGCCATCAAATCTTCACTGTTAAATCCTTTTGCTGCCCTTCCCTAATGCAGATGTATAATCAGCATCATTCCTCATTTAAAGGTAAAGTTGTTGGCATCATACAGAAAAACTGGCGGGATTACGTAGTCACATTTCCATCCATAGAAGATAGCCAATCGCATGGCAAAAACACACAGAAAGTCCTTGTGACGCCTTGGGATTACAGGATTCCCAAAATCAGGATCAGTACCCAGCAAGCAGAGACTCTGCAGGTAAAAGAAGTATTTGAAACTAGCCAGGGTCCCATCTGTATTAGTGGTGTTCTCATAGCAATATGCTTTTGCTACAGGACTTCCGCGTCATTGTGCGGATCGATTCCTGGGAGTCAACATCGGTGTATCCAAATGGACATTTTGTACGGGTTTTAGGACGGATAGGAGATCTTGAAGGAGAAATTCAAACGATCCTAGTGGAAAATAGCATTTCCGTCAGTCCTTTCTCTGAAGCGCAGGTCAGCCTGTTTTTATTGTTTGCAATGATTCAGCTGATAAATTGTAATTATATAGTTCTCAAAAGTTTGACATCATTTGGTCCAACTTTGGTATGATTTTTTAAGTTTGTGGCGATATATAAATAGTAATAAATAAATTTGGTCACTTGGATTGCATAAAATGTACTGGTATGTGCACTGAAAAAAATGCAATTGTAGATAATTAAGGAATGGGGTGCTGACACTGTATGGGAAGCTGCCTGGTCTATCGGGAGTTGCCAGTCGGAGTGTAGTTTTCACTAACCTCTCCTTCCACACAAATATAACCCTTCGCACCACTGAACTCTGCTCGTTTACTTCATGTGCTTACTTTCTGAAATTGGTTCTGCTTCTACTGATCTGCTGATGGCTTCTCAGGTCCTCTAGGAGAAATCCTGTAACAGAAGCCCAGTAATAGTATCATGCATCCTCCACTGAACTATCTTGCTTCTCCAAATATCATGGGACCCTTTGACAAAGGCCTTGCTGAAGCCACAATGTATTATATCCACCGCTCTCCCACTGTCTGCTATCACAAAATGAATTAAGATGGGCAGCACTCCCATCGATTTAGTCTGATCCGTATCACAGATTTGCCTTCTGTTGGCAGAAAGGCTCGGAAGGTGCAAGGACCTGATTTTCAGGAATATGCCATCTCTCTGCACCACAGCTGACTCTGCGTGGCACGGACCCCAACCCTCTGTGCCACATCTCTGGGGGCTGGAGTGGTTGCCATGGGAAGGAGGGCAGGAAAGGATGTTCCTGCCAGCCCAGTTGCACCTGCCAAATTGGGAGCCAGCCAGTAGGAAAAGCACTCTTGTTTTCTGCAGATGTGTGAGATGCCAGTTGTGCTCCCAGAAAAGCCGTGGAAGGTGTTTCCTGAAGAGGAACTAAGGCGTGTTGACCTGAGGGATTCGCATTTAGTATTCAGCATTGATCCCAAAGGCTGCGAGGATGTGGATGATGCCTTGTCAATTCGAATGCTGCCCAATGGAAACCTGGAACTTGGTATCCATATTGCTGATGTAACTCATTTTGTGGCTGCAAATTCTCATACCGACATTGAGGCGAGATCAAGGTGAGTTGTAAATCAGCCACCTCCATTACTCGGGCTTTACTGAAAAGAAGGGGGGCTGTATAAAAGGAAAGCTGTCTAATATTATAAGCTTCAGGGTCCACAAGCTGGAGATGTCAGGGGTTTCTGTTTGATTCCTGTGAACAGAGAGATGATGAATGCTCTGGAAACGTCAGGGATGCACATGCCTTGGGTGGCGCTTCAGTCATCTTTTCCGAGAATGGAAAATGCTTGAGAATGTCAGTCAGCCATAACCCTTGAGCCAGCGAAGAGCTGAACCCAACCCACATTGCAGACAGACTTCCCCAGCCTCTTCTTTCCGCATGTGTCCCAAACATGGTGTGGGAGGCTGTCCCCTCAACCCTCCAGAGCTCAGTGGTGGCGAGAGGAATCCCATTCCTCGAGCAGTTTCCATCTGCTAGCAGAATGATACTTCTGAATACACGGGAGGGAAATCTTGTAACTGCAATGGGTGTGTTTAGAAGAGGAGTGACCACCTTCTGGGCCCAGGGACCCAGTGGGCAATTTAACGAACTCTGGCAGGCATTAGCACAAATGCTTGCATTGCAGATGAAAGTACAACCACCTGCACCAGCCTTTTGTAAGAATGTCTCCCAGCCCTGCCTGGGGCCCAGAAGCCTTCATGGGGAAAGATGGCAGCAACCAGACGCCTTCACTTTTTAAAGACGGAATTGCTATTGACCACAGGAAATGGTGCACTCCTTCCTTTCCCTGGGACACCTTCCCCACAATGCCAGTTCCAAAGTGGCATTGACAACGTCGGGGCTGCACTTGGCACGGAAAGAACGGGACTGCCTGTGAGGGTGGCGGGAGGGCGCTCTGTGGTTGGTGTTCCAGCTTGATGTCAGAACTCATTTTAAGGATGGAGCTGGGACTTCAAACTATCCTGTGGCTGCCTAGACGGCATCTAGCACCCCTAGGATCACAGCCTTAGAAATGAAAATAGAAAGTGGGATGGGACGGGCACCTCGGCAAGTGTCTACAGAACAACACTGTTGGGTAATGGCCATTCCTCACCAGAGAAAAAATTTAATCCCTTTGCAATACGTGACCAGATATGCTGAAGCTCTAAGACGTCCAGTAAGAGAATTATGAGGATGTTCCCCATTTCTCAGGGCCACCACTTACTACTTAGCTGATCGTCGCTATGACATGCTGCCTGCCATCCTGAGTGCCAACCTGTGCTCTCTTCTTGGAAATGCTGACAGGTGAGTTCCCGAGTCCGATCCGCTCCAGCATCTGAGGAATTCAGGCAAGGTTGGTCTTCTGCTTTTCCCCTGCACTAACACTTTGGGAAGTTACGTCCCTTTACTCTGGTTACAAGTAGCAGTCCATGGTGTCTACTACCTAAAAAGTTTCAGGGAGTTTAACAAACATAGAAAACTGGCTGTTCAAGTGAAGATTTTTTTTTTTCATTGCTATTTTAGAAAGTTCTGTCAAATCACTTTCTCCTTTACTGGCCACTGTCCTTTTTTTCCCCACAAAAAAATTACAAGTAGGACGATTGAGTGAATCTTGTTTTTTTCCAGTGACTAAGTAAACAAGTGGATTTTGTTTCTTGGCAAACCTAGCTCTGGATGGCAGCACAGAAGCAATCCATTTTAGGAGCATGAAGCATCTTAACACATGCTTTGCATCTCTCTCATTCAATATATACCAGGAGTTACAGACTAGAAAGTCCCATTATTTAAAAAAGAGTGCTGATTTTATTTTCCAGGTATGCTGTGAGTATTATCTGGGAGCTTGACCAAACTTCCTATGAAATCAAAACAGTGCAGTACATGAGAACCATTCTTCGGTCTTCCTACAAACTCTTTTATGAAGCAGCACAAGCTTTGCTAGATGGAGACTTAACTGCTGTAGCTGAAATCCCAGAGCTCAAAGAAATAAATGAGGATGCCCGGAAGCAGAAGATAGAGGAGCTGGTCTGGGCAATAGGAAAGCTGACTGAGGTGGCCCGTCATGTCCGAGCGAAGCGTGACCGTTGTGGGGCCCTGGAGCTGGAAGGTGTGGAGGTCAGGGTTCAGTTGGATGACAAAAAGAACATCCGTGACCTCATCCCTCGGCAGCCCCTCGAAGTGCACGAAACGATAGCGGAGTGTATGATTCTGGCGAATCACTGGGTGGCCAAAAAGATCTGGGAGACGTTCCCTCACCAAGCGCTCCTGCGCCGACATCCGCCCCCACGGCAGGAGTTTTTCTCCGAACTCCGAGAAGCCGCCAGCGCAAAAGGATTTGTGATAGATACACGGTAAGCAGAATGGGTGAACCAACTTTGCTGGTTCTTCAAATACAGCACTTCTCTGCCCAGATATTTTCAGAACAGGTTTGGCCTCTGCATAATCTCTCCTGGTACTTGTATTTTTGCTGGGAAAAATGCCAGCATAATCTTTCCAGGCAGGCTACTCTTTGATGGAGAGTGCCATGTTTTTTGTCCTCGGTAAGCAATCGGCGTGTTCTAGCGGATGGCGAGCAGAGCTGCAGCTTTGCCACAGAAGTCGCCGTCTTGCACCTTGAACCACACGGTTCCCAAGGTCTGTCTGTGGAACTGCTTGCAGCCTGACAGAGTTGCTTGGAAGCTTCATGCCTCTCCACCCTCTGGGCCAACTGCAGGAAATGTGGCCAAGGACACAGATTTAGGATATCCTGCAGGTGATTTGCATTGCACAAGCTGCAGCGATACGTTTATAACAGTGCAAAGAAGTTAACCAGCTGCTGTTCGTTTTGATAGATCTAACAAAACACTGGCTGACTCCCTAGATAGAGCAGTTGATCCAGCCGATCCTCTCGTGAACAAACTGTTGAGAGCAATGGCTACCCAGGCAATGTCAAACGCGGTGTACTTTTCCACTGGATCCTGCCCTGAAGAGGAGTTCTCTCACTATGGTACCTCTTGTCCTGATACGTCTGTCTTTCAAGGCTGCCCCTATTACCGTGTTGTTGTCTTACAGACTTCCTGCTCATGCACTTTTCCCTTTAGGTCTTGCACTGGGTAAATATACTCACTTTACCTCACCCATTCGGAGGTACACGGATATAGTGGTCCATAGGCTACTGCTGGCAGCCACTTCAAAGGACGATAAAAGGGGGCTCAAGGACAACTTGCTTGGCAACAAGGAACTTGAGGAACTGTGCAGGCACGTCAACTACAGAAACCAGGTGAGGTGATGAACCAACAGGCGCTCGTCTGACTTTTTGCAGCAGCTTGATGGGGAGTCGATCCATGGAGGGGGAAGTTATCCAGGAGTGGGCCTGTCCGACCTGCTTTGGAGACAGGTGTCAGGACTAGGGTTGGGACAAACCTGTTCAGGTTTCAGCCCTCCAGAATCTGTGGATTTCTCTCATGCTTGGCCTAGTCCTACAAGGCGAGCCAAGCCAGAGGAAAGTCCAAGAACACTTGGGGACCCCTGCCTGAAAGACCAGCCCTCATTCCTGCTGGCCGGCCTTCCCCGCTCGCTGCTGCCGGTGACGGTGGTGGTACAGAAGAGTGGTGCTGCCCGAGTAGCACATGGGGCTTAATTCCCGTCATACCCTGGGCACGCTCACCAGGAACTTGAACTCTGGGCCGCTGCAAAGCAGGCCGGATAGCGGGAAGCAGAAACCAGGGAATCCAGCAGATTCTCTGCCCCAAATGGATTCCCTGCACATCCAAGCAAGACCCCATCAGCCAGGTACCAGCACTATCGCTGGCCTCTGCTAATGCTCATAGCTCCTGCGGCTAAAGCAAAGCTAGAGATCTTCAGCTGTGAGTGAGCAGCTACTGCAAAGACAGAGTGTGTTAGACAGAGAGGAAGAACGTGAGCACAGGTGCTACCAAGGACTACACTGGGAGTCGCAGTGACAAGAGACGGAGCATTTAACCATTACAGGGCTCCGGTCCTGAAACATTCTGCAGGCATTCCGCTAAAAACCTGACACGTTCTAACAAATGGCTTCCTTTGCACAGGCTGCCCAGCATGCCCAAAAACAATCAACGGAGCTTTTCCAGTGTATGTACTTCAAAGACAAGAATTCTGAAAAAGATGAGCAGTGCATGGCCGATGGGATTATTTATTCCATACGGACTAACGGCGTCCTAGTCTTCGTGCACAGGTAGAGCCAGTGCAGTTCTTGGCAAGAAGAGCAAGTGGATGGGGCAAGCCTCATGTTTCTTCACTAACTGAGAGGGTGGGAGACAAGATGACAAGGCAGTATGGAAGAGCTGAATTTAATCCTGTGCGATCTGTTGTAGAGTTTTGTCAAGCTTGAATTGAGGGACAGGGTAGGGGAGTGAGTTAAATTCAGGAAGAGGGGAAGCGCTGTCTCTGCTGACTGGCAGCATTCAAAGAGAGCTCTCAGCCTGTGAAGCATGGGTCACAGCCCTCTCTCCGGGGCAGGTTATTTCCTGTAAGTTCTCCTTGGACGGAGACTGTCTAGCCTTCCATTACTGTTTTGACCTTATATTGCATTTTATCAGTTCATAGTTAAGGGCTTGTATCTTACTCATGAACTTGCTTGCTGTTAAATACAAAATGCACCAGTCGTTAGATCTTACTGACTGTCACATAACCTCTTTCTTTCACAGGTATGGAATTAAAGGCGCTGCCTATCTGAAAAATAAGGAAGGCTTGGTCCTCTCTTGCCAGGCTGATGGGAGCTGTGAGTGGAGACCCGGTTCTGTGCAGCGTTTTTCCAGTAGAATTGTCTCCACTCCCACTGGTGGGAATCCCATTACACTGAACCTCTTTGATCACGTGACAGTAAGTAATGAATCGGTGTCCCAGGACTTAGCCATGTAAAAAGCAACCAAAATGGAATCTTAACTCTTGTGATTTGTCTCAGGTAAAAATATCTGTACAGAGTTCTCGTTGTCACGCTGACTCCATCCGGCTGCACATCACAAGCTGCAAGCCCTACTGGACATCAGAAGTGGAACTGTCTCAAAGCTCCCACATATCCAGGGCAGACTTGGTAAGAGAAGTAGTAACAAGGACGGCTGAAGAAGCCCAGCTTGCTCAGGACACCACCCAGGGGAAGACTACAGAGGAGGAGTTTGCGGAGTATGGCCAGACGCAGGGTATGAGCCTGTATCAGCTGCTCGAGGAAATCAGGGGTTTGGCTTTATTAGATGTATCCGCCGATAGCGGAGCATAAAATCACGATTCACAGAATGCTTGCGCAAGGGCTCTTCATTGGCAAAGCTTTGTACAGTTACTTTCCCCTGCTTTTAAAAAAATATTTGTGGATGTGTTTAACCATTTCAGTTGGCTCTAGTTTTGAGAGTTTTGATATAACCTTGTATAACAACATCACAGAGCTGCAAAGGGGGACAAATGTATTTCAGGTTTCCATTTTTTAAGCAAACATTTAATTTTTTGAAGTACAGAAAATTGTAGGTATTGCAAAGAACTCAAAGAGTAAGAACTCATTATGTTTCAACCTGGTAGATCTTAAAAATTTTGCGATCAGGTAATGTACAGATAAAATTAAATTACAATTTATTACTTTCTACTTAGCAATTAGTATCTGAATGTTTTTGTTTTCTTGACAGTTTGGTTGGTTTGTACTTGAAAGCACTTCAGATATACAAAAGGTTTATACTATACTTCCAGGAACAACTGTAGTTATGAAGCAGTCAGGAACTAAGTTCAGAATGTTTTTCAACTTCCCTTTTCTCCCTCCTTTGAATCCAAAAACCACCTGGATTTCCTACATCCTAGCATCTTCTTCTGGAGAGTGGGTGGGGAAGGTAAGCTAGGTATAAAATATGCTCAGTTCTCATATCAAGCTATGCTGCGTCCCTTTTCTGTGGGAGCCCTGAGTGGTTCACAAGGAACAAGCTGCAGTTTACGCTTCCTATTAGGACAGAAAAGCAATTTGCGCCTGTCTGCCACATCCATGGTCTCCCAGTTTTCATCTCGCCCCTCCTCCATCTTAGAAACCATCACTCTGCACTCGTTTGCTTCAAAGGCAGCCTGGGGATTCTGCTGGTTCCTAGTCTACACATCACTCCAGGGGGAAAAAAAAGAACACGCTGTCTGTCCCTTCTTCCATCTTGTACAAACTGTCTTGACACAAAACTCTTCTCCAAGGACAGATCTTTTGCCTTATTGGTTGGTTGTGATTGGTCCCCCTGAGCCAGTCAGAACACAGCTGGTTGATTCATTAATGATCTTTCCAGCAATCCTGTGGCTGTTTGAGCTAGCAGCCATCCAGTCTTCCTGGATGACCCAGTGCCACTTTGGAAACATGGAGTGAAAATGGAAGGACAGAGAATGCGGGAAGAATGGAAGGAAACAGATTGTCACAGAAGACCACGTGGAAAAACAGCAGCTATTAACTACTTTGGCTTTTTAACAAAATCAGATGAAGTTTCCAGGCATGGAAGCCCCTTCGTGGATAAAGCAAGACACATTTTGGTCAAACTGCAAGAAGTCTTTAAGGGTGTACTTTTTTAAAAAATGCAGCTGCCAATCTTCTATTTGTTGGAAGTATTTGATTAGGTTTGAAGAATAAGTATTTGATTAGTATACCCTTCTGATCTTTGCGAAGTTTCAGAAAGATTGGTGCAAGAGATTCTATGTAAGAGCAGCCTGAAAAGCTGATGTGGTTTCAAAATGCAGTTGGTTACTCCTTCTGGGGTTATAAGGTGCAAAATGTATGCTGATATATTCCCCCACCTGGCGATAATAGTTTCATCCTACAAGAATTTATGTAACCCCCTTTTAAAGCTGTCCAGCTCCATGGACATTACCAACTTGGGCATCACTGTACCATGTGGGATTCCATAGTCTGACTGGGCACTAAGTATTTTTTTAATTTGTCTTAAATCTACCACTTTTCAACTTCAGGGATAAGCAGGGGATTGTACTATGAAGGGGGGGAAGCCCCCACCCACATATAGGTTGATTTCCCCTTGTTCATTTCTTTCACATCCTCAAAATCCTGAGACATTGCAACCCTTCCTTAGAGATGCTCCAGTCCCTCCCTCCTCTGCATCAAAACCCTACTTGCTTGTGCAACATGAGCAGCAGTACCCGTCTCCTTCTGCTTTGTTGCAGTCCACGATGCTCAGCAATGTGCTCGGCTTCACAGTAAGCTACAGCAGGTGGACTGGCTGCTCCCCTGCCCATGCTCATCTGGGAGACGTACCACATAGGGATGCTCTGTCCTCTACTGCAATAGTAGAAAATGCTGGGGAACCTTGATTCAGGCTGTGGGGACCGTGTCTAGATCTCCATAAACCTCATCAGAATATTGCTGTTCACATACAAACATGCACATGTTTGCAACACAGGTACACAGGATCTGTAACTATTGCAATTCATGATTCGGGGGAGATGACACAAATGCAAGATCTGTTGGTGTGGGCAAAGTGAAGCTTCCAACCTGAGTTGTGGATGAGTTAACGTGTTTTACAGTGTACATTACTCTTGGTGCAAGAAGGGAACAAAATCAGAATGAACCGCTCTATATATGCTTACGCTCCCTGCCCCCACTCCCAATGGGGTACTGTTACCCAGAACAAGTCAACACAGAATCCGGCTAATGCACAAGTGGCTGCCAGCCACTGTCCATGTTTTCATGCGTCTGGTGCATTCCACATCTTCTAGACTATTCCACCCAGCATTTCTGCCTAGGTTCCCGTGCTGCTTTGGGAAACTGACAGGACACCAAGATGGAATGGACTAGAAAAGAGAAATGGAGATGGGCAGTATTAGCACATATTTTTCCCAGTACCATCTCTAGCAGACTGAGAACTGGAATTTTAACCTCCAAGCTGTGGCTGGTTGCATTACCTGTGTCCTCTACCGGTGCAATGTGTCAACAGCCAGAGCCATAGTTCTGTAAAAGACTAATTCATGAAGTAATTGATTTTTTCTGGGTTAAAGCTTACACTTAACCTCTGACTTCCTAGATTTATTACCTCCATTTCCAGTATAAAATATAGACAAAGTATTTCACACTGTGAAAGTTACAAGATTTAAATGGTGGAAGTATTCCCTTTTATCTACTCTGTTGATATTGGTTTCTAGCCCAAAGTTTGAGGCTACTTTCATCCAGATTTAACTGCTTCAACTTCTCGCTTTAATGGAAAAGCACCATTTCAAATCTTAGATATTAAAAGAAAAATTGCATTAGAATACTAATCTCTCACACGCAAGTGGCTGGCAGGAACAACAAGCCTGAGCACTCAAAAGTTGATATAGGAAATAAAATTATGCTGAAAGAAGAACATGTGCCAAGAAATACTCCACGTTCCTCTTTTAATAGTAAGCAACGAAATCTATGTCAATGATATTTTAGGATGCCCGTCACTTGATCCCAAACAGTTCAAGGTCATTTATCTTCTATATGTCCGCTTTGCATCTTCTCAGCAGCTTCCTGTGTCTGCTGCAGGATTATCATCTGGTATTTGAGAGACAACGGTGTTGTGCTCTTCGTTTAGCTGGGACACACACAGCTCTATTAGAAACAAAAAAGCATTGGCTGTTCAAAGCCATTGTTTTTGTATTAACTCCTCTCCTGTGTAATTTAATTGCTAAGGCTCATAACTCTCCAACCAACTCAATAACTTGAAGGTTTTATGAGGAAAGAAAAGCAATCAATTTCTTTAGACCCAATTTCTTTAGCCTTTGCAGGAAGAAAAAGAAGCAATTATCACTAAGGCAGGGGTTGAACTGCAGGAAAGAGTTAACTTTAAAAGGGGGTGGGGGAGGAGATACATTCTAAATGTGAAGCAAAGCACATTCTGGTTAAATATTACTACAACCACCATGGAATACTCTAATTGAGAGTAGTAATTATAGATCATAAGCGCTTGCTGATGTTTTCTCAAATTTAACCTGAATCCTAGATTGTTTAAATTGTTCAAGATCCTGTAGACTAGTCAAATGTATGGAATAAGCAACTTATACCAATGTTTCCTACACTAGCTTTACAGTATTTGGGGGGCGGGGTACCTACAACCCATGGGCCAGATCCTGCAGGTGACATTCTTCTGTCCCATGCATATTGCATCCAGCACCCAATATCATACTGAGCGTGATTGCGCAAACCCATACCATGCCATCTTCCTGCAAATGAGTATGGCGGGAAGATGGCAACCCGAACAGCAAATCTGCCTAGGCACATGGAAACTGAACCATTCTGAGAAACAACCAGACTTTAGCATCAAGTGATGCCTGCACCCAGTTTTGACAGTACCAGCAGGGCCTGTCAGGGATCGAGAGTCAGGGATCAGCCTGAGTGGGTATTATTTCCATTATTATTTCAGAATCCCAAGTTACACAACTCACTTTTCTATTTTTTCCTCACTCGAGAGAAAAATATTTTTGAAGGAAACACATTTCAAAGAAACAGCAATTACTCTGATATTTGCAAAGGCCAGAACAAGACCAGATTGAATTTTAGGAGGGATTTTAGAAGAAGCCCAAAACTGGGGATATTCACATGTAACAGTCCAAATGGGGTTATTTAATTCATTATTTGCTGCAGTACACATTGGGTACATTCTGCAGCCTTTTTGTATTCTCTGCAAATCACCACACCAAAATCACACCATATCATTGGTTAACCTACGCCTTAACACTATTTCATGCCAATCAGGCCATTGTCTCAATAAATAAATAAATTTTTCAGAAGTTACCATGTTCTTGTGATTCACTGTTGAACTGAGTTTTTGCTCGTCTTTTTTCAAGGGCCAGTTGTCTATTCTTTTCGATTCTCTGCTGTTGCTCCTCTGTCAGTGTAGCATTTGGAGGCAAATGAAACTCATCTCTTGTATTCTGGATTTCAGAAAAGAAATCTAATTCTTCTGTGGCTGCACTAACTCCATTGTTACCATCCTCTTCACCTGTATTGGATGCAAGAACTCCATCAGCAGTTTCCAGGCAACATCTACAGCTCAGCAGGGTTACTTCAGAAACAAGCATCCCATGAAACATATCACCCTTTAGATCTCATCACACTGCTAAACTACATATAACAATTTGTCCTCATTTTGTGAAAACACCAAATACAGTTGGAAATGCTACTTATCTGGTGACACAGAAGTATTGTACAGTTCCTGAGTCTTACTACGTAGGAAGTGGTCTGAAGTAAAATCAAAGGCCATTCACCCTCATACAAAAATGTCTTTCATCTGTCCTTAAACCCAAACCTGTCTATTACTCAACACAAATGTATGGAACCATCGCACAGAAATCTGATAACTCGACAGACGCTGTCGGCAGGAACCATTTTATTAATGTACGTGGCTACCTATGGATGCATTGCATTACTAACAAATGCAACCAATGTTGATTGAAGCCACATTTGTGTAATCATTCTGATACTGTAAGTTTGTTTTTAATTTCTTCCTCATTCCCGTTTATGGCTTAGCAACATTACATCTCAGATAGCATCAAGCATCTTAGTCCAACTGTTGCCACAAATTTCATCACAGTTGCAGAAATTTAAGAAAATGGACATGTTTACTATGACCATATGATAAAGTGTTTAGCAAAAGGCAGGAATTTATTGTCTAAGATACTGGATTTATTTTGATCAAACATATTTGTATTCTAAACAGTGTGAAATTTGTTCTAAACCTCTAGAAGTGAGTGGTATTCCTAATAACCAATAAAATGCACTACATTGAAAGTGGACAGAAAGTTAAACAAGTCCGAGTGAGCACCTAGGCCCTGATGGTTGCTGGGACTGTGAAACTAGAAGGTTCCTTGGTGTGATCCAGCAAAGCATTTCTTATGTTCTTCAACAGATGTGGCCACACTGGCCCACTCAGTATGAGTAGGGCAGCACTTAACACTTACAACACTTATTAACAGAATGTGTGGATTTGAGTGTTTGTTTTTTAAAAGAAACCATTTAAGACCAATCCGTTCACTCCTGTCAGGAATGTTGCGATGTTGACACTGCATCAAAATGGCCCACAATTGGAGGAAAAAGGATGTAGACTAAGATTTTCAGTGCATACATGCCTTCATTACTTGTGAACTCTTCATGTGAAATAGGCAGGTCAAGTCTAATCCGCTTTAAGCATGCCTAGAAATGAAAAAGTCTCATTTATTACTGATGAAATGGTATTTTCTGCTTTCAATTAAGCCTTCCATCGGATCGGAACTGCTACAGTTGACACTCACCTGAACTGCTTGCTTATTTCCCAGCCGCTCAACCCTGCCAACAAATTCTTCAAACTGAACTTTAGGAAACAGCCTGTGAGCCCAATGCTCCATGTACCTCATAAGTGTCTTCAGGTCTGCTGCCTGTGTGCAACAACAAATTATTATTTAAATTACTTGATCCATAAGAATTTGGAAAACTTTTAAGATGTTTAACTACAGGACACTCTTAAAATACTGAATCACTTCTAAACAGATCACTTTAGAGCTTGTACAAACTATTCTTGTATTGCAATACTATTACATGGGATCCAAATGCCTTTAACTCAGCAAGTGCCTGTATTGCAGGGAAATCCAGTGTTTTCATCTGAGAACTGCTTTTTGTTTACTGCTGGAAAACCACCAACTTCCCTCACCTAGCACATTAAGGAACTATTAGGATGTGTAAGCACTTCTTCACTGGGATGCCACAATGACCAATTATCCTATAAATAGCCTTTTTAAAAATTTAATGGTCAGAGAAGGTGATGTAGTGCATTATTTACTAATTTAATGCACTGATTTATTTACTAATAAATAGCCAGTAGTAAATGCACATCACACAGCTCTTCAAGCTGTATTTGCAATACAACTTTACACTTTGACCTTACCATCTCAATGCTATAATGCAAAAACACGTTGTTTTTCAAAAGCTAAAGGAGGGATTGAATCTCAGTTGCCTGCAGCAAGATTATGCCAATTCATAAGATACTGCATTATTAGAGCTGCTGTCTGAAAAGGCCTTTTGAATGATTCATTAATCCTACAAATGAAGTCCCTTCAAACTAAAGTGAGTCTGCATCCTTACCTCAGCTTCTGTTATGTTACGGGAAGCATATCAAATGTTACCTGAAACAGTCCATTTTATGTCACCATAATAAACAAGAGGCAATTTAAAAATCAGTAAAACTATCCAAATTTGCATTAGAACCCCTAAAGTTTTATCCAACCTTCACTGACGTTTGAAGATTCCAGCCCCCCAGAATACATAATATGCATGCAGTGGCCATAAAATTCAAGAGAAGACTTCTCAGCATTGCTTACCTCATGACCTTTACCTTTGAATTTTACATTATCAAACATACTCTGCAAAGCTGGAAGTCCTCGCTCTGAAACTAACCTGCGAATGTCAGAAGTGTCTCCAGTTATTTGGAAAAAAAACATTAATATATGTTCTAGCCAAAATCCTGAAATACAGCGCCCATGTGAACAAGAGGCACAACGCATGATTCATTATGTGTCTCAATGCAGGACAATGAATACTCCACTGGAACAAACAAACACACCTGAGTTGAACCTCAGAAAACAAAGATGGTTGACAAATAAGGTCTTTCCTTATTCCTTAAATGGGCTTTGGTACTAATAATGGAATAGTGATGCAAAGGAGGCCCTTGCCCAGCCAATGGGCTCTAAAAGTTTTCGGTTGCAGTTCATCGGACCCTCCCTGCCCACTGACAAGGAAGTGATAATGGTAGTACAGTCAACAACAAGGGCACAGGGTAAACCTTCTTTACCTTAATATATAAAGACTACTTAGTGATTTGACTATTCCAGTCCACCAGAAGAACTTCCATGTGGCTCACATCATCCATAAAACAATAAAAATTCATTTTTAAAAACCAAGCTAAAAAAGAGGAGCCAGGCATTATAATCACAGAAAGATGGGAAAACCAAACCAATGGAAAAATAAAAAGGGATCACAACATGCCACCCCCCAAAAAAAGGAAGAAAGAGGGTGATTGAACCTCACACAACTGAGCCCCATGGCAACAGAGAGGGGTCCCAGGTTCAAGGCAATTGGACCACCAAATGCAATGGAAAGGAAACAGGGTCTGTAATGGCTAAAAGCAGCAGCCGGACAAACCCATGCGGGACTTTGCAACCCAAGTTCTGTTCTGGGGCATTTCTTATTCCCTAAGAAAAGCATCATATAGACCAGGGGTCAGCAACCCGCGGCTCCGGAGCCACACGTGGCTCTTGAACCCATCTGCTGTGGCTCGAAGCTCCACTCAGGAAGGCAGCACTAGCTAGTTAAGTATATCAGCTAGTTAAGTAAAGCGCTCCATTCCTCTGCTAAACAAGCTTCCTGCAGGCTCTCCTGTTACACCAAAAAGCTGCTGAAAAGATTCTCTTTGTCCCAATGTAATCTCCTTCATCTGAATGTTAAAAGCTGCGCTTGGGACCTGTCACAATTCACAGCACTTGGCTGTTTATCTGCTAATCAGTCGCTAAACACACAGCAGCTGTGGACCCCTAAACACACAGCAGCTGTGGACCCCTAAACACACAGCAGCTGTGGACCCGCTGGATTTACTGAGCTCCACACCCCCATAGGCCAACCACAGATAAATCAAAGAAAAGTTTCTGAAGAAAACCAAACTTTTAATGATATGTGAGTAGATTCATTTGCTTTTACTGCTGATGAACTTACGGGGTTTGCTGTTTAATGCATGCAGCCCTTTAGCACTGACTTTGACTCTTCAGGAAGCTGGTCTCCTATTCAAAATACATGAAAGGAGTCCTACTAGTTTATAATGTAAGATCAAAAATAACAGTTTTTAGTGACTGAACAAGAGCTGCAGCTTAATCATAATGAAGCATTATGGTAAAAAACCGATATATGCAGTGCTATCTTCATTTTAGATGTCAAAAGGGTTTTGCGGCTCCTGGTGTTTTCTTTTGTGTGGGAAATGGGTCCAAATGGCTCTGAGTGTTAAAGGTTGCCGACCCCCGGGCTAGACCAACAAATACAAGCCCCTAGTCACATCAAGGATTCTAGAACCCTTGTGTCACTGAAAAGGCATCAGAGGAGGAAATGTATACAACAAGACTTATACATAAACACTTTGGGCTACAAAAATGCTACTAAATACCTTTCAGCATCTAGTTTAGGCACTGATCTTTTAACAGTTTTCCTAGCAGTCACAGGGGAATTCTTGGCTTGTGACAATTTGTCTTTCTCTGGCTCTGGGAAATAAAAGACAACACATTCTAAAACTAGTAATCCAAACTGGATACAGAGAGTGAATCATTCCTAAGAATAAATACTGGCAAATACATAGAAACACAGCGAGTCAGAAGAGGTCCCCTGGACAATCTAATCTGACTCCCAGCTCCAGCCAGCTTTGCTTATGTAATACCCAAAAACAGTATTTATCATATGCTAATGCTGTAATAGCTTCGCAGAAATATGCTATTTATTTTAATTATTCCCTGGTATTAGAGCCTGTTATCTATGTAAACTTGCCTAATGAAAGTAAACATGTACGAAATGAACCCCATACTGTCTTTTTTCCAGAAGGTCAAAAGTAATCTTAACCTGTAACTCTGAAGTTATTTTACACTATGTACAGAAAGAATGTACTATTCCTCAGAGAGTTCAATTCTAGCACTGGAGAAAATTTCATCGACTTGGGTTGCAATCCCTAAGACATCGGTCCTCAAACTTTTTCAATAGGGGGCCAGTTCGGTGAGGTGGGGATGCCTGGGGGCACGCGTGGCAGTGGCTCGCTCGCTCGGAGATCTCCCAGTGAGTCCAAAACCATCCCTGAGGGAGCAAGCCACCACCTCCCCGCCCGCACTGTGTGGCAGTGGTGAGCACGCGTGCACAGGAGGCAGGTGGCGATGGTGGCTTGCTCGCTCAGAGACCATCTCCAAATGAGCAAGCCACCGCCTCCCCGCCTGCGAGCAGCAAGCAGCAGCACAGGCTGGATGGATGGCCACGGCAGGCTGGATCCGTCCCGTGGGCTGTAGTTTGAGGACCCATGCCCTAAGGAATATGTTCCTCAAAATAATGTAGTAACAGAATGGGACTTAAAGACAAGTAAACATACACAAGATTGTGCTGTTAGTGTTCTAAACACCAAGGTTTAGGTCAAGTGAATAGTCACCTCCATTGACCAGGGCTTCTTCAGTATTTTCCCCTGGAGAGTCTGGAGGGGGAAGAGGTAGAAGCTGCTCGTCTTCGATCTGTTCATAATCAGGGAGATCAAACAAACTGTTCTCTGTTGGATTGATCATCTTGCTACCGAAGGTGTTCTACCTTGGAAAATGAGATTACCAGCTTTATAGGGAAAGAACCTGAGTTATAAACAAATTCATAAAGCTTTGCACAACTGAAGGGCACTTCTCTTGCCCCAATTCAGCAACCCCAACTCAGGTGACCTGGGTTCTAGTCCGCGCTCAGCCATGATGCCAACTGGGCGACTTTGGGCCAGTCACAGACTATCAGCCTAACCTACTTCACAGGGTTGTTGTTGTGGGGATAAGATTCAGGGCAGCAGGAGACTGATGCAAGTTGCTTTGAGTTCTTTAAAAAAGAAGGCAAGATATAAATCAAATAAGCAAGCAAACCTTTCTGAGTTATGGCAATGTGAGGCACTATCCTGGGAACTGCTAGAAAGGCATAGACAGAAATACACCAGTTCATGTTCTAATGCCACAATTACACAGCAAGTTGCAACCATTTTACAATTTCTACAGTTGCTTCATAATTTCATACTTAAACTGTATGTGCTTTAAAAATACCTATTTGATACTTGTATATTCCTTTGTATTCTACATATGCAGTATAGCTAGCATAACTACAGCACACCAAGTAACTTCTCGGAACCAAGTTTCCAGCACTAACAAAAACCTGTTTATGGCAAGCCAGAAACATGTAAGAATGTATTGATTTTTAAACCACTCAGAGAACTTTACTTATTATCCCTACATTTATATTCTGGCTTTTCCCTCTTGCAAGAAACCCAAGACAGTTTACATAATCCTCCTCTGCACTTTATCCTTAAAACAACCCTGTGAGGTAAGCTCAGCTAAAAGTAAGCTTCACTCTGAATCAATGGAGTACTATTCCAACAGTCTAACCTCTAAAATAGCTTGGGTTTTAAAATTAGGAAATTTTGCTAGCCTTTCAGGCATGGAAAGAGGCCCATTTACTGATTTATTATTACATTTATATCTTGCTTTTTTCCTCTTGCAAGGAACCCAAAGTGACGTCCTTAATCCTACCCATTGCATCTTCCCAAGAAGCCAGTGAGGTAGGTTAAGGTAGGTCCTCAAACTAAGGCCCGGGGGCCGGATCCGGCCCGCCATGCCCCTTTGGACCCGCCGTGCCCCACCTCAGCATGCGCGCACACGCATGCGCCGCCCCCGCCCTCTCACCGGCCCGCATGCGCCGCCAGCACCACCTTTCCGGCCCGCGGCTAGCACCGGCACCTTTCAACTGGGCCCTGCTTCAGAGGTTAGAGCAGGGGTCTCAAACTGACGGCCCGCGGGCCAATCGCCAGGGCAGGCGGGGCACAGGGGAGGGGCCCTGCGGCCTTCGAAGCGCCGGCGGCGCCCGGGCCGGCCGTGGGATGAGCGGCCCCCCACCACCGCGGGGGTGGAATACTTGATGCGGCCCAGCCTCACCCAGACTCTACTTCCAGCGGCCCCCAGGTAAGTTGAGTTTGAGACCCCTGGGTTAGAGTCACCCATTGCGCTTCATGCCCAAGCAGGGACTTACAGTCAGGCCTACAGAGTCTCACTCTAACCACTAGGACACACTGCCTCCCCGGTGCTGCCCGCGGAACGGAAAAGTACCAACATCTGGGGGGCAACATCTAAACGCAGCGAAGAAAGAAGCAAATCGTGCCGAAAAAAGCAACGGGGCGGGCACGTCGCTCGCGCACCACTGGAGTAGACCCACTGGAATGAATGGGGCCTCAGAGGGATTTACACGGGACACACCTCACCCCCCCCCCCCCCGCTCGCTTCTTTTCCATGAATGTCCGTCCCCCGATTAAATAGGGAAGAGGCAGAAATAGGGCCGCGGTGCGGGCGGGGGGCGCCTCCAACCCACGCGGCCCGACCCGGCAAGGGGAAGGGCCGCCCGCCCCTGCCCTACCTGAGCGGCCCGGGGCGGCTCACATCCCGGACCAGGCCGGCCCGGTCAGCAGCGACCGGCACCAGACGCCGGGCGGGGGAGGGGCAGGCGACAGGCAAGCAAAAGCGCGCCAGAGCGCCCAGGGAGGCCAGCTCACGATCTCGCGAGAACGGAGGCCAGCACTTCCGAGAGAGGCGGGGCAACGCGAGTCCAATCACTCCTACAATTCCCAGCATGCCTCAGGAATCCATACCTGTTTGGCGGGGCCGGAAGTATTGGTAACCGCAACGTGCTGAACTTTATTTTGTCCGAGCATTCATTAAGGATTTTACCCTTAATTAATTTTGTGTTTGTGGGAATGGAGAGGTTTAGGGTGCGCCTATGATTTTTCGATGGGACGATTTGGGCTGCAAATCTTAGCATGCAACATCAACAATACACTACATTGGGAGGTTTCTGTAACCCGCTGTACCCCATTTAGCAATAAAGGGCATCACAACTGTGGACTTCGTTGCAGGGTTCTTGTAAACCGGAGCTTCAGCATGCCTCTTTTCTAATAATACAACACGCTCTTAGACGTGTCCAAATAGAAATAAGTCCCATGCAACTGTTTTTCTCCCAGGTCGATGAATCCACTATGGCAGCCTTAAGAATGGACTGCAGTGTAAAGCTGCTGTAAAAACTGCTTTCTTTAGTCATCCCCTGCCTGAAATGCGGAGTGCACAGAGTATAAAGGCTTTGAAATTTATATAAAGGCAGGGATATTTTTCAAATAGTCACAATTTTTAAAAAAAGGCATATGGATTTTTTTATAAAATGGAATCAATTTTTCCTCAGAAATAGATCCAAGATAGGAAGAACCGAAGCTCCTTCTCTTTTTGCTGCAATGTTTTATTTCGAGGGAGTGGGGAAGAAAGACACTGCTGCCCAAAAAGTCTGCATGAAGTGCTTTTAAGCGCCCTATCTGGAGTGCTAATCCTCCAAATAGGGCACTTAAAAGGGGCCTTCTCCTAACTTCACTTGTAAACCGCATGTACAAATAATAGGATGCCTCTGCATATTTACTACTTCTATGTTCTCTTTTACAGCTGAAGCTTTCCGCGCTCGAGCGCACCCCTCCGCCGTGCCTCTTTGCGCATGCGCACTTCCGTCCTCTCGCTTTCACGGTTCGACGAGCGCTGCTGTTAGGCGCGAGGGCGGGGCGCGTGCTGTTACCTCAGAGCCCAAATGTGGGATTTTGGCACCAAAAAAGGCGCTCGAGGTTGCGCTTGCGTTGACTCGCTTTTATTTGCCGCCGACAATGGTTTTTAAGTCCGAGTACTACCTTATTTCACTATTTTAATTATCTTAATTATTATGAACCACCTTATGAGGCCAGAGAAGCAGGCTAGAATTTATAAATTTTTGTAGTGAGGTAACCTTCATTTGAGGAAGGTCATAAAACTTTTTTTTTACCTCAGACTCTGTCCACATTTAAATCTTTCCACCTGATGCAACATCCAAATATAAATGTATTACTTGTAATGCTGTTCTGTCCATCACCCAAAGTGAATTCCCCTTTTTTACCAAAGTGATTTGTATGGGTTGGAGTTTTATCCTTATGTTTGTACGCCACCCTGAAGGACAGAATACAGTGGTACCTTGACTCATGCACTTAATCCGTTCCAGGACTCTGGTCGTGACCCAAATTGGTCATGAGCCAAGTCAAATTTCCCCATAAGGTTCAATGAAAATAAGGTTAATCTGTAACTATTTTTTTAAATCAGAAAAATGTGAAGCAAAGTGACAAAGAGCAACAAAGATCGCGGCCATTTCCCCCCACCACACGCTGAGCACAAGCGCAGCCATCTTCCCACACCCCCCCCAGCACGACCGCGATCGTGCCCATCATCCCTGCACACACCCATCATCCTGGGGCTCGGGGGGGGGAGACGGGCACGATCGTGCTGATGGGGGAAGATGGCCGAGATCGCGGTTGCGCTCCTGCAGGAAAGACGAGTGCAATCATGGGTGCGCTCGTGCAGGAAAGACAGGAGCGATCGCAGCCATCTCCCCGCTGCCCCCAGCACCATCGTAGCCATCTCCCCACTCAGCAGGGTGGGGAGATGGGCGCGATCGCAGTCGCCACCCAATGCGGAGTTCACGATCTGAGTAAAAAATTTTATGAAATGTTTGTTCACAACCCAATTTGGTCGTGAACTGAGGTGTTCGTGAGTCGAGGTACCACTGTATTCCTTGCAAACCCTTCTGGCCTCTTCTCCAAAGAGCGCTGTGTGGACTATTTTATCCACATATCAAATGGTCCCATAAAAATCACACTCTTACATGGGGAAGAATGCCTGTTTTTGAAGATCGAGAAGTACACCCAGGAACCACTGAATTCCAAAGATGGCTTTCAATACCACAGATTATACCATCTATTTCTTCTTTTCCATGGGTGCCTTGTATTGCACCACATACCCTGAAAATATGCCTCAGAATCTCTCACTGTTGCAGAGACTGGTGAGATACGTGGGGAACCTGTTGCCCAACACAAATCCCATCATCCCTGACTACTGGCTGGGCTGATGGGAGCTGGAATCCAGCAACACCTGGGGCACACAGGTTTCCCACTCCTGCAGACCTGAAATCTAAATGCCTAAGATAAAGGAAGAGGGGAATTGGAGGGAACACCATCTTGGTCTAGGCCCCCTTCTCAGGACAAGGGAGTGAGTGGAGGTGCAGGGGAAGGCAATGAAAGCTCCTGAGCCGGTCCCCAGCTGTAGAAAAAGACCTGAAGCTGAGCAATTCGCGTAAGATGGGAAGAGAAAGGCCTCCACGTTTGGACTAAGGTGTGCAGACACGGCAAATGGCACAGGAAGACCTTGTGCAGAGGCAACAGCAGCTCTGGGGGCAAATCTTAGATTCATTAACGCATGGTTTGTTCTTAGGTTAATGTTGGGTTGTTTAAGCCATGAACAAACCCAAGTGCTTGGGTTTGGACATCACAGGAACAGCTTAGGACTGTGGCATCCGCAGGTTGTTCCTCAAAACCAGAAGTGGCTCACACGCAGCACACCTTCCCATAATGCATGGGTTTGCTGCCAAACACCACCACGGCATGCAAACAACGTCAGCAAAGGCCCATGCCCAGGATCTGAAAAACCCTTGAAAAATTCCAGGTATTTCCTATCCTATCCCCACAGCATGCTTCAAGCCCAAGACTTTTTCAGGCCACACATTTATGTATAAAAGGATATTTATTTTATATGTGTATTTATAGGCCGCCTATAACTGTCGAGGCATTCCTAGGCAGTGTATGGGGTAGAAACCAGGACCTCCGATACACAGGGCCACTTGAATAGTGCACAGGATAAAAAATTCCATTGCACCCTTTGTGCATGTGGCTAAGGAAGTGGCCAGACAGGTGTGCAGGGAATATTCTGTCCTTCCTTCACCGGCATTTTCAGGATGGCTTATACATGCCAGGATATGCGCACCAAGCCACACAAATCCACACCACTCAAGAAGAATGGTAGCTAAAGGTTAGCCAGAGCTGCCCCCTGGGAAAATGGAAGAGCCTTGCTTTGCCAGCGCAACGTGAGCAAGGTAGGCCCCAGGCAGGCCTGGAGCCATCACCGGAAAGACCTCACTGCCTTTTCGGGCTCAGGGCCACAGGTGCGGTTCCCCTGCAGAGCGAAGGACGCCCAGCAGGGCTGGGAGCGGCGCCTGCACTTCAGCGGGGCCCGGAGCGGCCCGAGAAGCCGCTCGCGGGCAGGGATGCGGCAGATCTCGCCCGCAGGGCCCCCCCGGCGGCGGCGAACCCGGGAAGAAGCCCTCGCAGGGGGCCCGCTCGCCCTCCCGGCCGGCACCAAGCCGTCCTCGCCGGGCCCGGCAGCGCCTTCCGGGAAAAGGCAGGGCCGCGGCGGCTCCATCCGGCCGCGCGCGTGCGCCTGCGCGCAGCCCCGGCCCGCCGCGCCTCGCCGCGCCTCGCCACTGGGGGCACTCCCGCGGCTCCCAAGCGCTGGCGGCAGGCTCGGCTCGCTCGCTCGCTCGCTCGCTCTGCTGGGGCCCGAGGCGCGCGGGCAGGCGAGCGCGGCAGAGCCGGCGGCGCGAGCGGGCCCTCCGCGTGCAGCGGCGGATCGCGTCCGGCCGGGTCGCGCTCGGCGCCGCCGGGAGGGAGCGGAGGCGTGCGCGCCCAGCCCAGCCCAGCCCAGCCCAGCGCGGGCGCTGCGTCGGCCGGGGCGCGAGCCGCTCCGCCCGAGGGGACTCCTTGCCGGCAGCCCCGCGCGGAGCGTTGCCCGGGTCCTCGAGCGGCCCCGGCGGCAGGCGGAGCACCATGCCCAAGAAGAAGCCGATGCCGATCCAGCTGAACCCCGCGCCCGACGGCTCCGCCATCAACGGGACCAGCTCGGCGGAGTGAGTACGGCGCCGCGGGGCGCGGTGGAGGAAGGGGCGGCCTCCCGAGGCGCGCGCGCTTCGCCGGAGCGCAGCCCTCTGCGCGGCGCCGGGGTCTCCTCGGGAGGAGCGCGTCGCGGTGCGCCGGGGCTGCACTTGGGCTGATCGCGCAACTCCGCAGCGCCCGCTGAACGAGCGGAGGCGCAGGACCCGGCGATCGCGGGGTCCCTCCCTGCCTTGCGGTCCTTAGCTGCTGCCGTCGTTTGAAGACGCGGGTGGGGTGGGGGGGGGGGGGGTGGGGGGGCTCTGAAGCGGATGACTTTAAACATTTCTTTCATAGCATTACGCGAGATAGTCTTGCCTGTAATGCTGCTTCTCGGGGGGCCGCTTTCCAAGTAAAGGCAGGAATAGATGCAATTGATCTAAAGAATCCGAACTTGCACTTCTTGGGCGAGGTAAGCAAGGGCGGGCGGGGAGAGGCTGATGACTCAAGAGTAGGAGTGCAGCGACTGGATTCGTTCAGCTTATAAGTAGCTACCAGTTGCCTGCCGAAGAACGATGTAACAGTTCTTCCATTGTTTGCAGTCTCTTGTAGCGGGGTGTTTAAAGAAATGTAGAGTTTTCATCATAGTTAATAAAAAGCACAGCTCCTTGATGAGTTGGTAGAGACTCTTCCCCCCTCTTCTTGATTTCATTCCAATTTTAGGAATACCAGAACTGTGTTAATTATCTGTAGGAACTACATTTAAAAAACAAACAAACATGCTCTTGCAATGCCATGTTTGCCTATCCAAGACTTTTCTGATTCAGAATGTTTCGAGTTGCTGTACGGAGCTGTTTTATGGATCCTCTCTGTCTCTTGAAATTTCCAGACTACAGGGCTGAAGATGTGCAAATGGAACACAACGACTTAGGAGCCCAGAAAGATTGTTGGACTGCAGGATGCAAATAAGCTCAGCAGTTTTTTCTAGCGTGTGAAATAGTACCAATATTTTTGCAGTAATCCAAGCTATTGCCCTGGATTAGCTGTGAATTGACTTTGGTAAATTTTACTGCCTGAAAAATCGGTACTGAAGCTTTTTGCATGCAGAGGGTGGGGAACTGCATCTGTGCAACAGGTTCTGTTTCCCTGCAAATTGAGTTTTAAGTTTTAAAATGCTTATTCAAAGTAGAGAGGATTCAGCAATTCACTTTTTGTGAATTCCAGTAATGACCCACTGGCTTTTGCACTTCGGAATATTCTAGTACTGTTTTAGGGTCATATCAAAACATGCCTAGAAATGCATATCTTGAGAAAAAATACGTTTAGGCTGCAGACTTACAGCTCCCAGCATTTCCCAGTCAACCATGCTGACTGGAAAATGCTGGGAGTTAGATGAATTATTTAAAGACTGTTTTAATGCACATTTTCTTGCAAATTAAAATCAATTACAAAATAATGCAAAAGCTTTAAAAAGATTTCTATGAAAGCATATACGTGGAGAAATGGAAGGGTAGCTATGTTGGTAATAAGAAGCTTTTATTTAAGAAGAGATCTACATGGATGAATGGACAAATTCTGGTTAGCCATTTTCTTCCATTAGTAGAATTTTTGAGATGGTCATGTGTCCAGCTGGAAACTAGATATGGGCTCTGACTCCACTTAGGTCAAAGCGTTGTGACAAAGTCCCCATCTCAGTAAACTTGGCAGCTCTGGGATAAAGGGAGAGGTCCTCTTATCAGTTGATAAAGCTGAGGAAGTAGGCAAGGACAGGAGTAAACAGAATTCACAAGGGTAGCTAACTAGGAAAGAGATGGTTGATAACTCAAAGAGAATGTCAGGCAATTTTCTTTCTAGCAGAAGTGGAAAGGTATTGGAAAAAATGCCAGTGTGGTTCTTTATATGTATGTCTGTAGTGTAGCCACATCTGGATTGATCTTTGGTTATTCCATTTCAAGAAATCATAGAGCTAGGAGAAACAACACATTCAAGGAATTGGAGCATTTTCAGTATGTGGAAAGGCTAAATCATGTGGAGAGTTTTGGCTGCAAACAGCCTTCCCCAACTAGTGCTTTCCACATTTGTTGATCTACAACTCCTACAAGCCCCAGCCAGTGCGCCAGTCAAGGATGATGAGGGTTGTGGTCTAAAACCTCTAGAAAGCAACAGGTTGGGATAGTCTGGTTTTGGGGAAAAAGACAAATTAATGGCAGGGCTTGAAAGAAATTTATAAAACTATGCTGTGATGAATGCACACATTTTTCCTTCTGTTGCTCAGAACAGTGAGCCATCCAATGAAAGAAATAAGAAATAAGCAGTAGATTCATAGTGGACAAAAGAACAATGCCATAATTAATTCATGGCAGTCGTTGCTGCAAAATGTGATGGTTGACCCTAGCCTGATTTACTGTAAAGAGGATGAGCTCGATTCCTGCAGGACAGTCCTGTCCCTTGATCCACACAGAGGCAAAGAACCAAAGGCACTCACGTAGCAGTGGTTTAGCAGCAGCATATGTGAAGAGGATTTGGGGATTTTTGGTTAATTATAAGCTGAACGTGGACCCGCAGTGTGATGCAGCTGCTAAAAAAATGAACCTAGTCTTAGACTATACAAAGAGATACATTGTGTGCAGGTCATGAGAAGTAATATCGATGCTCTGTTCTGCCACATCTGGAGTATTTCATGTTGTTGGGGTGCCCCATTATAACAGGGACACGTTGTTGGCCCAGCCAGGCACCTCATTCTTTGTTATGCTCGTCTAATATCTTTGCATGTGTTAGTCAAAAGCCAGGTTACCTCATCTGATAAATTGCTGCTACTGAGACATTCTATCCAAAGAGGTGTCAGTGGGTTGTGTGTGTGTGTGTGTGTGTGTGTGTGTTTTTACTGCCTGCAATCATCATCTTTGGATATCATACACATTAAAAATAATACTAATAATGAACTCAGATCAACATGATCTTGACTCCCTTTTTTTCCTCTTTTGCTTAAGGTGTGAAAATGTTGGAGACTGGGTTTACCACGCTTCTTGCCCAAGGTGTGATTAGTGTGCTTTAAAAAATCAGTTAGGAAATTTATTTTACTCTGAGATCAGAAAGGAAATAAGATATTTTTGCTCTTTAGTTCTGAAGTGTCTGGGAAAGTTTTAATTATTTTTAATTCTCAAAATTGGGAATGCCAGTGAGAAAGCCAGACCAGCTCCTAACACCTACTTTTGGGGGTGGCACTGTATGTTCTCCTTCTTTCATATAATGTTATTTCATCATGTTGTAAACTGCTTAGAGAGTCCTGAGGGACTATTAGAGCAGGATGCAAACTGCTCTGTACTGGTGCTGCTCATAAATAGCAGCAGTTCACCCTCGAAATTTACTTCTGGAATGCTTCCAGGAGGCCACTCCTCTAACTATGTTTCCTTTGCTCCTCTAATCCACCTTTTCTTTGAAAACTCTGCGTCCCTACTATAAGTGAGCCAAAGGATGTGCACTTCCAGTAAATCAAATACTTTCCCTGTTTCCATCCTACCTCCATTCCCTCTCCTTTCTCTGATGTCCCCCTTATGTCTGTTTCTAGATTTGAATTCCCCTTAGGTAGGGACCCAGCCTCCTGTTCTTTGTTAAATGTCATGGCCATAACACCGACGGAACAATCACATATTTCACTTATATACCATCTCTCTTGCAAGGCACAGAAGACTGATTACACGGGCCCATTTTCCCACTTCCTTTTTATATTGACATCAACCCATTGAGGTATGTCAGGCTGTGATGGTGGGAACCTGGGTCTTCCTAGTCCCACTCTTGCTCTCTAACCAAATTTTCATTAAAGTGTGAAGATATTGAGGTTATTAACTAAAATGTTCCACCCTAACTTAAGAATTGTAGTCTTACTCAGTTAATGAAAAGGAACCAAGTGTCAAACACAGAAGAGCACTTGTGGAATATCAGTCAGAAGGTCAGATTGTTCTCAAGAGAAAGTGGATCCTCTCTGCTTTAGAGCTGTGGGGAAGGGAAGCTCTTTCTTCTGAGGGACACAGCTGAGTCAGGCCAAATCAGATTCCAGGAAATTCCATGAGGAAGGCTGTGTGGCCTGATTCAATCTCTAAAGCACTTTTTGAAGGGAATGGGCTGTGATGCATCATCTTCCCAATTTTCAGACTTGCTAGGCCATTTCAAAATCTTCATTGATGAGAGTAGTATTGAACTTTGGCTGCAAATAGAACATTTTGAGACCTTAACATGAAATATGATACTGCCTTTCTCCTGACCCCTTTTATCTTTCCATTATTTTGCATGGTTTGTTCAGGCTAGGAAATTGCAAAAATGCCAGTTTCAACCTCCCCCCACCCTTTTGCCCTTTATATTAAGAAAATAGGATGCAGTAAATTTTCCTTAGTGCGAACTCTGGTTTAGATGAGCTGTCAGCACTGTATTTTATAGACAGGTGGGTTATATGATATTTTATATAAGGCAATATTGTAATGAGAAACTATCAAATGCTTAGATAATCAGTAGCTTCAAATTAATAACACAGGACCACATCATGTTATTTTTATGTGTAGAATCCTAACCCATCCTGCCCTCTTGAAGTGTGTAACATATATATAATAAGCGAGAGCATAGGATAGATTTCTACCTATGGAACTTTCATTAAAGAATGCCCTTAATGCTTCCTGACTGATACAGGTTCACATGAGTCGGGCCGCATTCTCAGAATGTGGTCAAGGGTTCCAGAGTCAGGCTGCAGCTGTTCTGCACTCGCTCCTTCATCTAATGCAGTGTGTGTTAGGAAGGCAGAGAGGTGGCAATAGGACCACGTGGAAGGGATGGTTTCCAAGCAATGCAGGACCAAAGCTAGGTTTGTATGTACATTCCCTAAGAAGTAATAGATCCTTTGGCTGAATTCCCAGCTGCCATCTGTGAGAGTTTTTGTTCACGAGAAAGGAATGTGGAGCACCTCTAAAATTTGGTAGCAGTTAAGTGGCACATGGACCCAAACTGTCTCTTGAAAGGTTTTCCTCCCGGACCTCATAGAATTCTTGAG